CGATCTTATCAACAATATGTATTTTCAATTTTGAATCAGATTGTGATACAATAATGACACTAATACAATTCAATAAGCCAAATGTCTTGAACTATGTCTATAACTCACGTCCATAAATATTGGATTACATACAAAATCAATGAGAAATCAATCATAAACTGGAGGTTAGATTTGGTTTATATAGTTAGATAATCTTTTCATGGTAAACCGGTTACAATTCACCTTGATGTTATATTAATCTTTGGTTACTAAAAAAAAGATACCTAATTGGGTTATTTAACTAATATTCATCACATTATTAACGTCGACAGAAGCGTCTCATAGATAAAATAGTTTTATAAATCAAAGAATCTTGTCAGAAGTATGTTACCTCCTTCAACAATTACCAAAACATCCCATACACCACCACCTAAAACCTTTGAATAACTGAAAGAAGAGAAATTTTGGGCTAACCTAAATCATAGGCCAATTTGCAGGCCTTATAAGCAAACACACTTTATAGATCATGCAAATCCAATTGGGCCAGAAGAAACATGTCGTCAACGGTTGAAAAAGAGGATTTATTCGGGTATTGGTTTTTGATGATGTGTTTTGAGGATCCGCGAGTCTCTGAACACATCGGGATATTGATCCGCAATGACCAAGGAGGAGGATATTTTACGGTTGAAGTCGAAGTGAGAAAGGTCAAGAAGTACACAGTGATGGAGGCTACTAAGAAGTGCAATTGCAAGGCGCAAGAGGAGATGGACATTATGCGATATATGTAATAAGGAATTCTCGAGTGTTGGGAGTGGTATAAAGCTAGAGTGTGGTCATGTTTTCTATAGAGATCGTGTGATGGTTTCCGGACTAGAGTGTGGTCTCAATCATTGTTTAGTATAAGATTTTACTATTTTAGCATCACGATATGTAATTGATGGCAAACAAATATAAAATATAAACCATTAGATCCATAATTGCATTACTTGTGTGATGATATTTTGTTTAGAGTTATGGCCTTGTCTACTAACATTGTTCCTGAATATATCAAACACCTAATATTCATAAAAATACATCCCAACATGCCACAATTATAAGTGTGTAGCATATTAGAGCAGCAGCGTAAAACACCACAGGTCCGGAACCTAAGTATTATCCTTTGCATCACATCATCATAAACTATCTCAATGGAAATGAAAAAGTCTCACCCAATAAAAATCAGTGGCATTATTTTAAGTCAAAATTGTAAACATTTTGTTCAAACAGTATATAAATAAATAAAAACTGAATACACCGATGCTTTCCCCGCACGGCAAAAACCCTTGGAACTATTAAGAAACTCCGAAAAAAGTGTTTTTTTTTTTTTTGTTTCCTTTCAAAGCATCATTTGCAGATTGCAATATCTGTAACTGTTACCTGAAAGGAAATCGGTAAAAAGACAGAGACTTGTCATCTCTTCTGTCTCGAATCTTTCTTCATATGTCCAGAAGAAGCCTCTGAGGATCTTCCACAACATCCTTGATACGGCGCAAGAAATACACAGCCTCTCTTCCATCAATTAGCCTATGATCATAGGTCAGCGCGACGTACATCATTGGCCTCGGCACTACGCTTCCTCCCACAACCATTGGACGTTGCACAATCGAATGCATTCCAAGAATAGCAGACTACAAATGAGAGTTTTATTGCGTTAGCAAGAGAATTAAAGACCGTTCCTTTTGTCTGCTTTTAAGTATAGCGAGGATCGAACTGAACCTGAGGAGGGTTGATGATAGGAGTGCTTAAGAGACTTCCATAGACACCACCATTGGATACTGTGAATGATCCTCCAGCCATCTCGTCGATTGATATGGTTCCTTCATTAGCCTTCTTAGCAAGAGAGTTTATCGTTTTCTCTATGTCAGCAAAGTTCATTTGGTCAGCACCTCTTATGACTGGAACCACAAGACCCTGGAAATCGAAAGAAAAAAATCAATCACTAATGCATCAAAAGCCTAAAATGATATCATAAATCAATGTGTGGATCTCTCTATCAAGAGAATTGCGGAAACAAACCTTAGAGGTACCAACGGCGATACTGATATCTACATAGTCTCTGTAAATGATATCATCTCCATCAATAACTGCATTAACTACTGGTTGTTGCTGAAGAGCACTAACAGCAGCCTGAAACAAAGAGATAAAGAAAATTACTTTATCCGTAGAGTTTTGATATGTTAATTAATTCAGGAAAGTTTCTAAGTTTTTCAAGCCTACTTTAATGAAACCAGACATAAGCCCCAACTTCACTCCGTGCTTCTCAAAAAATGCATCCTTGTATTGAGATCGGAGCTTCATCAGATTAGTCCTACGTGAGAAGATAAAATTATGTTGGTGAACTAACAGTTGAATTATTTTTAGTGCACTAAGAGAATTGCATAATGATAAGTGACATCAACATGCGGGTTTTAGCTGTGACTCACATATCAACTTCATTGAAAGTTGTCAGTAGCGCAAAAGTGTTCTGAGAGTCCTTCAACCTAGTCGCCACCCGCTTGCGAAGTCTTGTCATAGGAACCTGCAACGTCCATGCCATATCATCAAATCATGTAAAAGTAAATAGCTTTTTCTCTCACAGCGAAAACGAACGAAACATGTGCTTACCCGTCTTTCCCTATCCTTAGGAGGCAGCTGCGGTTCTTTCGCTGACTGCTTAGATGGAGGTGGCGGTGATGGTGCCTTGGGTTTCTCCGCAACTTTAGTACTTTCAACTTTGGGCTTCTCAGCAGGAGGAGAAGGCTTGGGAGCAGGTTTCTCTGGTATCTTTTCTGAGGGGGCAACATGAGAATCAGCAGACATTGAAATGATAGCTATCTTGTTTCCCGGTTCTACAGTATCTCCTTCCTTGACTAGAAACTGCATAAAAGAAAAAAAGTATTTAAGTATACAAATACAGGAGAAAAGCCACCGGAACAATAAAAGACACAAATATTTTACCTCTTTGATCACACCACTTGCTGGGCTAGCAATATCTATTGTCACCTAAAGCACAGAGATGAATCGAACATTAGTATTAGGAAAGTTACACCAGAAACCAGTCAACCAGTCAACCATCAAATAAATAAAAAACATGGAGATAACAAATCAAGTAATTGTTTGATACCTTGTCAGTTTCAATTTGTGCAATAGCCTCATCAGCTTCTACTCTATCACCAGGTTCTGCAGGAACAACATTAGAAGGATGAACAATAGATATATTAGACACATACATGCACCGGAAAGAAACCTAAAAGAAGACAATGCAAAGAAAAACATACTCTTCAGAAAGTTGGCAATGGTTCCATCAGTGATTGATTCACCCATGTGAGGCACTACAGCCTCCACAACATCCCCTTCAACAACATATACAAGCTAGTGTGTCATAAAGCCTAGAGATACATGTTACGGTAACAATAGAGAGCAAAACCAAATTGAGCCACACGTTTCATAAAAGTCTGAACCAGGATGAAAGTAATATTGTATTGTAGGTTTGCTGAGATGCATCAAATATCCAAATACTGGTGGTACACTTATTAAGGGTCACTTGGCTAAGCCACTGTGGATTCCAAAATATGAGTAACAAACATAATTAATTGAAATAAAGGAATATTTGAAGCTAGAGCAATCATACCACTATCAGATGAAAAAGGCCTGACCCATCTTTGCAGGGCTGTGCCTTGGTAACTGGTGAAAACAGTCCTATACATATGAATATAGTTTTTATAGTCTGTGAGATTCGGGTCTTATAGTCTGTACATGAACAAAAACACTGAGCTTCTAACCTTGAGCACTCTGAACACCCTGCAGATGATAGAGATAAAAGAACAATTGTCAACTGAAACAGCCGAAATTGGTGGAAAAACAAAAACAAAAACAAGGTTTGTAAGATATACCTGGACAAGAACGATGATGGAAGCTACGAGCATGGCTTCCACGAGGCACCAGCGTCTGCACAATTGAAATGACACTTAAATAGCTTGTTCATGGCAAAAACATAAAGGATCACAAATCTACAACAGGTTAATAACATCCTAAGAGGATGAAACTCAACTCATGCATAGAGATGAATCAATTGAAATGTCCCTGAATCTAAAAACATAAATCAAGAACTAAATTATGAATAAACGTACCTCTGGTGCTGTAACAGAATGAAAGCTTTGTGCAGACGCTGCAACACGAGAAGATTGCAGTGATTTTCCCAATCCCTGAAAGAGAGATCAAATAAAACTATCAAATTCCGTAAAATCTAATCAAAACAGCGACGAATCTAAACAAAAAAGGAAGACTAACCGAAGCAGAAGAGCCTCTACAGGAAGCTCTCCTTATGACAGCACGCAACATCATCGCACCTAATCTCTGTTTCGTTTCAGCAAGCAAATCAATAGATGTCGGTGAGATTCGTAATCGTAACGCAAGAACAAGGAAAAATCACCGGCCAAATCGAGAGAAAAAAAAACCAAAAGGAAAAGGGAAATTTCTTCATCCTAGACAATACTTTCTCAAAATCAGAAACCCGAATCATGCTAAAGCCATTTGTCGAACTTTCAAACCAAAAAATTGCTCAGATTCGTCGTTTTTCCGTTCACAATTTCACGGAAAATCCAATAGGAAAAATCAAAAATGGATCAGAACAAGAGAGGAATCGAAATCTAAGCGAAGAGAGCTAGAGAGAACCTTGAGCGCCGAATGAGAAAGTTAGGGTTTGCAGGATTGAAGGATGAGAAGAGAGAGAAGACTGGGGAAAAGCATATGACTTTTCTAAGCTTTGAGCAAGTCACAGGAATATGGCAAATTCACAGGATTTCACACGTGTTAATTTTCCTTTTTTTGACTCAATAAATATATCAACATAAATGAATTTTAAGATTTCAGTAGTTATGAACAGAGAAAGATTGAAACGCCGCCGTTTCGGTTACTGTATCCATGGGCCTTAGTAGCCCATATTAACCAAGCAAAATGTTTTTTTTTTTTATCAGAACGCAGCCGTTTAGAAGCTTAATGCAGCAGATAATACTTTTAGGCACAGAGATGTTTAAAAGCTTTTTTACTTTCACATCTTATTCATTTCCATTTCATTAAATTAAATTCCCCCCCCTGAGAAATAAATGTTCTAAATGATATAAATTTACAGTTACCAACCAATTGATCAACTTAATAATAGCCTAAAACCCAGAAAAGAAAATTTGAGAAATGACTCAAAATCAGATGAAAGAAAACGAAAAAATAAGAAGGATTCAGACAAGAGTCCCATTTTCAGGTTTAGGAGGTCTCTTTGCAAACAGAGACGACTTGCCATCAAAAAGGCTAGAGAACGATTGGCGAGGGCTAGGTTCGGTACTTTTCTGTTCAGTTTCTGATGGTACTCTTTTCTGGTTTCGTTCTTTACCACGGAAGATGAAACCGAGCCGCTTGAACCGGCGTTTTGTTTCGCTTCCGCTTGATGGCGAGTCCTCTGTTTGTTTCATTGATCTCAAGACTTCTTCTGGACGTAATAACATTGTTTCCACAGTTTCATAGACCTATAAAACCAAAGAAAACCGATCCAAATCTTTAGTTTTTCTCTTCTGATTCTACAAATCAAATGCAATTAGATGTATGATTAGAGCAGTCATGATGTTCATATTCACATGGCCTTAGTCCATCTGTCAAACATTCTTAACTATTCTATCAAGTAATAGCTGCATCAATATTTTGAGATTTTCCAAGCATGCATAAGTAAGAGACGCTGAAACTTTTTGCATCTGTTCATAGATGTAGTAAGTACCTGGCAGAGATCATCAAGTCTATCGGCCCATGCGCCTCCCTGACAAGTGGCCACCACATAATCCTTGCATTCGAAGAAAAGCTTTGACAAGTCATCGTTTGTGGATATTAGAGGCTCCAGCATCACAAATCCCAGAGCAAGCTGAGATTTTAGAACCAACCCAATCGTCAAATTGTTACAACTAATATCTTAACTGGATAATCCAACAACATCTGTACAACGCAGTTTAATTTCTTAATCTTCCGGGAGATCAAATAGCCAAGTTCCAAGAAGATACAAAGACGTGAATTTCAGGTTTCGAGTGTTTACAAACTGCAGCTTATTTAGGGCCTATATATAATAACTAAAGAATCTTCTTCTACACAAGGGCTGCCTAGGGAGCTTGCT